TATATGGTGTAGATATAAGGCCGCCATTCGAGGAGAGGCGGTATGTGGAGAAGGAATTAGATACCTGGCGATTCAAAGGGTGAACTAGCGCACAAGACTCAATCCACCTTTACCTAATTCATATTATGGTAACCTTAGTCGATTTGCCATAGCAATATTCGCACCACTGGCATTGGAAAATGGCGCTATAGGAGAGGATCGTGGTAGCTTGGTCACTCAGATGATAGATGGGATAAGAAAAGGTAACAGCAATTATGTAAGAAAACTCCAAGAGGGTGGTGGTGTTATGGAGGGCTTGAATTCCAAGAAAGAGGAGGGTGGTAATAAAGTAGTAGTAGGAGGAGGAGGAGAGGCGGTGTTTACTCTTGTGTTTTCGAGCATAGCTAGGTTTTTGCTATATGAAACTGATTTCAGATTGGGAAGGCTTGTATGGGTGACTTTGGGTGTAGTAAATCTTGATAATATGTTTTTTTCCTTCCTACTAAATCGGGTGACATCATAGAAGCATTGATTTTAATGAATACGGGCGATCTGGCGAAACTTGAAACTGATAAAGAGTTCCTCTCATTCGTTTCCAATCCTAAATTTCCACTTCTTAGCTCTTTAATAGTTTTGTGTAATTTCTTACTATTACATAATGTTGAGAATATAATATAAAGAATAAAGTTGTGCTATTCTCCAATAGAGCATAGCATCTCAGTTTAGTTGTTGACGGGCGTTTTTTATTTATTTATATATATATATATGTCTTTTTGTCTCTTTTTGTAATGTTTTATTATCATTAATAAAATATATCTATTTTTTCCTGAATAAAAAAAATGTTCAATTTTAGTTTTCATATTTACTTTTATTGGGTATGATTCAAAGTTCGGTGTTTGACATGAACATTGGTAATATTGAGAAATAAACAAGCTATGCTTTTTCAATTAAAATTCTAGACAAATAGTAAAAGAGAAATGAAGAACATGCATATTTCGAATCTTATTTACATTTTTTTTGGGGAAAATTAGTCTAGGTTCCCTCTTCCACTTTTCGTAATGGAAGAGATCCATAAAATTATTTTTTGATGTTTAAGGTCCCTAAACATATATCAGAGAAATTTGACTCTTTATCTCTCTAAACATATATTATTTTTTCAATTGCTAATGAAAAACTTCATACTGTGTAACACCGGTTTGCAGATATAGAAGCAGAAGAAGCAGGACAAGGAGTCCTGTATCAAGGAGCCCAATTCGCTACCGTGACCGCCGTTATAGCCGCAGTCCTATCCGCAGTCATTCTCCTATTGAGACATCTAGATTCCGTGAATCCCCACGTGCTGAGAGGCAGAGGTCACCTCCTCGCAACAAGAGCTCATCAATATCAAGGTCCTCACTCGACTCGCAATCACCTAAGCAGGCAAACAAAGACAGGTCAAGGTCATCTTCTGGAAGCCCCCCTGAGAAGGGGGGTTTGGTCTCGTATGGAAACGGTTCTCCTGACTTGGGCTAGAGGTGAGGATGTGTTTTGATGATTCTAGCAGTGGTCTTGACAAGCTTTGAAATGATCATGATGAATAAAGGATCCAAGGTGTGAGGTGATCGCGATGATTGAAGATGCATGGACTTGTGGTGATGTTTTGACTCCGTTTAGGAGGTTGAACATGTTTGAGAGATGTATGTTGAATAATGATGGATGTTACATTATGTTTTAGTTAATTGTGGCAGTGGATGTTCTTAATAGCCCATTTGCTTAGGCTGTCATTTGAGGGTTAAAAATCCTTTTAATTAGAGAAAATCCAGGTACTTCGTTTGCAATTTTATTTATGTGAAGAGGAATGACGTTTAAGTTTTATTTGGGTGTGCTATAAGCAGTGGTGTGTTTCTGCTTTTAAATTTGATTTTTTTTTATAAAATTATTAAAACATGCCCTTGATTTTACTTTTGTTGTAATTTTGTTATTGTTTTGTTGTAACATTTAAATTGAATTTGCATTTTGCTTCATTGTATGGTTTGAGGTCAAGAAGTTGGTGTTGGATCTTCTGAAATGATGGTTTCTAGGCCTTCATTTTATATCTACATTGAAATTGCAATCAGATGGTTCTGAAATTGAAGGCTATCAAAGAATTTCTCTGGAGGAAGAATTTGAATTTGAACTCAGAGAAATTGGTCTAAGGTTTGTCAAAATGATTTTATAAAATGATATTGCGATCCAGAGAAAATTGGTTAAAATGAATCCAGAGAAATTTGAATTTTCTCTGGTTTATAAATGAACCAGAGAAATTTGAATTTGAATTTGAAAGCAGAGAAAATTGGTCAAAATGAATCCAGAGAAATTCTTTGAGAAGTCCAGAATTTCTCTGGAGCGAATTTCTCTGGATTGAAATTTTTCTGGATCGAAATTTTTCTGGATCAATGTTGAGGACCTTAACATTATGAAAATATTAAATGTCCTTTATGCTTTTTTTTTTTCATTGTTCAAATAATTAAATGTCCCTATACATTTTGTTTTTGTTTTGTTTTCTTTTTTTTTAAAAAGAGAAAACCTGGTTTTAGAATTTAGAATTTACTTTTTAGAAAATTGAATTTTTTGTTTTGAATATGTTTTTGCTTTTACTAATTTTTTTTTTAATATTTTGACTAAATTTTGTAATTTTTAGATACACCTAACATAAACACACTTAAAAAGCACAATATTTGTAAAAAAATATTTAAAAAATTTATAATTCCAAAAATACAGAAAATAAAATAAAATAAAAATTCAATATATTTTTTTATTCTTGTGTATTTATTAATTTTTTAAAATATTTTTATAAATATTTTATTTTTTAGGTATATCTAAGTTAAGTCAATATAAAAAGTAAAAAAATTACTTAAATTATTAAATTTTTTTTGTAAGAATAAAAAAAATATGAAAACAAAAAAATAAAAAAACTCAATTTAAAAAAAATTTAATATAAAAATTGAAACCAAATAAAATGATACAATTCGCCCTAAAATGTTAGTTTGTGAACCGAATAAAAAGGTGCTTTAGTTTGCAAAGAGGAGAATTGAGTCCTTTGACTTTCATGTCTAATTTGTCTCGTTTTATTTATCTATTTATTTTAAATTTTGAATGTTATATAGTTGTTTCACAATTTCAAGATAGTTTGATAGGCTGAATTTTTTATGATAACCAATTAATGTTGAATTTGAAATTTTTAAAGAATGCGAAAGCCTATCCCATAGAATTGCGAATGTTTTTAAAATAAATTTTAAATTAGTGATAAAATTGATCAATTTTAATAATTAAAATGATAAATTTCTGCATAACTTTATAATTATATTATTATTATTATTATTATTTTTATTTTTTATTTTTTGGTCTTCTAACTAATTTGCAAATTCACCTAAAATTTATATTGGAGTACCTTTTACCCATAGACACTCCAAAAAATAACAGATTAATGGAGCTCTGCCATGTGGCACAAGGGCCCACAAATAGATGGACACCACATATCACATGAGCAAGGTGGACGATGCGAAAAATTATTAGTTGATCTTAAGGCACGATGTGATTATGATTGGAAAAATTATTCAAAAATTTCATTTGGGAAAATGTTATTCCATTTAGTTTTGGAAGTTTTCTTTCAAACCAATTAGTCCTTTTATTTATGGTATATTCTGGAGTTTACTTGTTTACCCTTGAGTGTAATTTTGGTTTTGATTTTTTCCTGATGTTTGGATGGGTTGGTTATGGTATGGTGTTAATTTTTGAAATTTTTGTGGAGGATTGTGTGGAGTGATTTGTGGGGTTAGTGATGTTTAGCCATTTGATGTGGGGGGCTGATGTGGAATCGTGGTGTTGTTGGTTGTTATTTATTTATTTTTTTTGGTTTGATTTTAACACTACCACCCACACAAGACCCACTACATACATGATTCTGACAAATGCACCTTCATTACCAAGCACTTTCAGTAAGTAACATGTACATGATTCTGGGTTGGTGTGTTTAAAGGGGGTTGGATAGTGTTGCCCACTTGATGTTTTATTCCTAATGTGGAATCTTTTTTTTAAATGTAGACTTGAATGTGTGTCAATTGTTTGTCCTGCTAATTTTGGGTTGGTGTGTTTAATGGGATTTGCGACTTGTTCGAGGTTGGTGTTTATTGTGTTTATTTTTTGATGTTTTCATTCTACTGTGGATGTTTGGATTTTTGATTTCGTGGGGTCATCATAACAGGAAAACATGCAAGAAACCAATGTAATGCCATCGACACTTACGGTTGTGCGCTTCATCACCGATTTACCACCAAATGTCACCTATTTACAATAAGCCATCCTCGTGCACACTCCTATTTGTGGTTGTCCAAATGCAGTTTAATGGAAGATTATGACAATTTACATGTTTCATGACATTTTCCATCAGTTCATGAATTGCATGTTACCGCAGAAATAATATTTATTTTCAAATTTTTGATGTATTCTACGAATTTATGACATTTTCAACATATCAATATGTCATTCGTTGCGCCGTTTATCCGAACCAATAGAAAGAAAAAAAAATCTAATTCGATCTTTGATGTATTTTGACAACTCACTATTTTTTTGGGACACTATATGGTGAATGTGTTGGTATGATGTGAGTGTGCATCACATTGTGGGTTCCACTGGGTGTTTATTACAAACCATGCATGTGATTACACAACAGTTGTTACTACTACTACAACGTCGCTTCAACATCCACGATAGGTGCGGTGGAACCATGTCTTACCGACCATTTCGAAATGAGTTGTTGTGATGTAACTACGGCCAACAAACTCGTATTAGAGGGACTGCACATAGGTTGTTGCCGTTACTCCATGTTTCGTGTTCTAATTTGGTTGCTCACATTACACCACAAAACCAATTTCAGTCATTCAGAAGCTGGTACGAGGAAACATTACAATTCCATAACAAAGACGACGATTGCGAGATGACCATTACAACAAGGTGTTGAAAATGGTAAGCACGTGACTGTTATTCGACATCTTGAAATTGTATTAATTTTTATTACCACCTTCCACTTTCTTGGAATTCAAGCCCCCCATACCACCACCACCCTCTTGGAGTTTCCTTACATAATCGCTGTTAAATTTTCTTGTCCCATCTCTCATATGAGTGACCAAGCTATCACGATCCTCTCCTATAGCGCCTTTTTCCAATGCCGGTGGTGCTAATATTGCTATGGAAAATCGACTAAGGTTACCACAATATGAATTAGGTAAAGGCGGATTGAGTCTTGTGTGCAAGTTTACCCCTTGAATCACTAGATATATAATTCCTTCTCTACATACCACCTTTCCTCGAGTGGTGGCCTTATATCTACACCATATAAAAGTAGAAAGTGCCTCAACACGAGTTGGATTTTTATGTATGGTTTTGTTGTTGGCAGTGATAGTAGTGGCGGTGATGGCGGTGTATTTGGATTTAAGAGTAGAGATGGTGGAGTCGCTAAACACGGAAATCTTTGCAATGATCTTGTTTTTTGTAGTGCCAACGCCATGCTTGTGGTGATTGGTATTGGGATTAAGTGTAGGGGGAAAGATGTTGGCCGAACCAAATTTGGGATAAACCAAATTGCTATAATCTCCACGACTAACAGCTGCCCAGAATTTCATAAACATAACTACTGATAATGCATCTGCTATCTTGTATGAAGTACATAATCCTGCTGGAGAGGGAAAAAATTAAAAAAAAATAAAAATAAGTACTTAGATTTATTTACTCACTACAAGAAGTTAAAGTTTTAGAGACAAAAATAATTATTCTGTAAAAATTATACTTTTAAGGGCAAAATGAAAGAATTTTTTTAAAAATATATTTAATCATACTACTACATTTTAATGACAAAGCTATTTGGTTGCAAAAGGTTAGTAACTTTTTACCAACAACTTTAATTGGTCTCCAATAAACTAACTCATATATTATTTTATTTTATTTTCATTGTCTGAGCTTCAATAGTTGGGATTTCATTTCATTCTCTACACTACTCTCTCTCTTTCTCTCTCTCTCGATTGAATCCCTAAATCTCGATCGATCGTATCGATTGTATTTTAGCTTGATTCTTCGAAGCTGAAAGATCTAGAGCTAAAAAGGATTGAAAGAGGGAAAACAATACTGATTAATCATATACTTGAATCGCCATTGAAGAGAGATAGGTCGATTTTAAGGTAAAATATTCGTATCCGTAAGCTCATGAATGACATTTCAATGAAGAAGCCCTTGAGAAAAAGATGTGATGGATGAGTTGTTCTATTTTGTAGGTAAATATAATTACAATTTACAATCTATTCATTGAATAGTTGAATGCTATAAACAATGCTTATGGCACTAGCCTTATAAATTGGAAATGATACTTTTGAAATCTCTATCAATTTATGATATACAATCAAATATTACGTATTAATGAATCAGAGCATGGTGTTTGTTTGTTATTGAATTATCTTTTGATTAAGCCTCTTTGAATGCGATGAGCATGGTGGTTTTTTTTTTTAGGTGTTGTTGAATTTTAATTTGGAGATGAACAGACAGTCTGGTGATATGAGAAATCATCAAATTTGGCAATTCTTTTGGAAAATCGATGTTTTGAATCGAATGCTAAAAATGGACTGCTTTGCCAGATTTACATAGTCGCCACCTGAATATTTTGTTTTGGAAAATTTAGGAAATCCGTGACTCATGCCAAAGGCCATTAGTCCGTCATCACCAAAGTGTCTCGGCTCAGGAACTTAGGTACGAGAGGGGAAGGTCATGAATTGAACATCTCACTAGCCCAATCAAAAATCGGCCTTTACTAATCATGATGTGATTTTTATTTACATTATATGCTCTTGTTCCAATTATTAGGTTAACTTTACTATGTGATGCATACAAGTATAGACTAATTTTGCAAACATTGGAACACTTGATTCGTGTTTGTTTTGAAAAAGTGTTTTGAATATGTACCACTTGTAAAAGTGATCGCATATGAACATTATTCAAATTCAAGCAAATAGCCTTCATCTACAGGCATTCAAGCAGTTTATCAATTAAGCATTTAGCCTCATGGCAAGCATGCTAGACATGGCAATAATCACACTCATGCAACGTGCTAAAGCAAATAAAAGCTTACCTTGTACTCCAAGCCAAAAAGAGAAACTAGTTAGAAAAATGCATGATTCTTATGCGACATGTCTAATGTAACACATGCGATATGTAATTACTAGGCTCAGCTACAAATTTGACATATGGATCAATAACATGCAGTTTAAGCACGTATTCAAAGAAGTATAAGTAATAACAATGCAAGTTAAAATGATGAACCGAGCTTTAATGCATGTAATACGAGTGGATGCGAACATGAAGTATGCTAAATGAAACGTGATGTCCTTAATCTAACTATCGCAAGCAGTTAGATAAAAGGGAGAAAGACGTGGGGCTGGAAGAAATACACATTATTACAAGTTTGTTTACCCTCACCCAGGAGGGTGCGAATCAATGTCCAATAGTCCAAGTTAAACTAATTATTACAAAACCAAGTGAATTAATAAGTAACTAAATAATAAGCTACAAATCTGAAGATGCACAATGCTCACATGCGTAGCGTCTAGAAGCTGCTATATTTGCCCAGATTATTCTGTTTCACTTTTAGCCACTGCCCTCTGTTTCTGCACAACACACTGCCTTACCATTCATTGATGACTGGCCGGCCCTTATTGACACCCGGCCAGGCCTACAGAAGGCCGACCGTGCCTTAATCTCATGCAAAATTCCATTTGGTGTCCTAAAGTAAAGATAGTGCAGACAGAGTGTTCTGGACTTTGTTTGTCCCTTTCTCACTTTTCTGTCATGGGAAAGCCTCGAGAGAAGGTTGAAATTGATTCCAAAACCAACAACGAGCAAATTGATTACTTGATAATCTCAGATACAATTTTGGACAAAAATCAATGAAATGCAATGAATATGACCACCTCTCCCTATTGTCATGGAGTGAACTCAAAGAGGGTGGTATAGATGCTTTAGGGTCATCAAAACATCATGAATTGATGTAAAACAAACCTTGACATAATGGACTCGGCATAACGTCTGGCCGAACCAAAGCAAGATTACTCATTTTCTTTATATGGGTTGGTTCATTTGAAGTCAAATTCATTAGTCCTTACCATCCTTTAATCCATTAAGTCCAAGGTGATGATTATGTCCACTAAAAGGAGAGAAGCATCAAATGGGAAGTAATTCTCAACATGAAAGAGAGATTACGCCGTTGACGATGAATCTCCATAGAGATTAAGCCATTAAGCGCAAACCTCTAGTTCATGTATTGAATAACCATCAACCATTTGAAACAACTCTCGAATGAAACGAAGAAGTGACAACTTGATTATTAAAATGAGATTATCAAATATGGAAGTGAGTTAAGGAAAGGCTAAAACAACTTGTAACAAACTATACAAGAAAACTTATGAGATAACAAGCAAACTAATCAAAGCATTAGCATAAATTAAAATAGCCCTAAAACAGCCCTAATGGGTGAAAAACAGTAGCTAAAAACAAGAGAAAGTAAGTAAAAGAGTAGAGAAAAAAACTATGGAACAAAGCCTAGGGGTGGCTCCAATTTCAAGACCTCAAATCATGTTTTTGGGCCTCAATTCAACTCTGAAAATCAGTATATAAAGGCAAGAAAAATAGAGGAAAATAGTATAAGAAGGTGAAAGAAGAAAATGAAAAAATATACCTTTGAAAGAGAGGTAAGCTCTTAGTTAACAAACTTGATTCCAACACCCTCAAGTTTGAGTTATGGTTCGCAAATCTCAATCAAGTTCCAAGTCCAAGCTCTATGTTGATATGGTATGGATGGATGATATAAAGATTATGAAAGTAGGAATATGACTTACAAAAGAAAGATTATGCTTATATAATTTGATATCTCTAAACCTTGATATATATCAACCTATCAATCTCTCAAACTTCTCAACCTCTCCAACATTTTCAATTCAGTCCAGCAGCTTCGTATTTATAGAGAATGAGCTGCAGATCAAAATATCTGCAGAAATAGATAGCTGACAGATATTTATATAATCTGCTTTGAAAAGTCAAGAGGCCCAGCCAGACATTGATACTCACGGCCGGCCATCACTGAGGCACGACCGGGCCTCAGTGTATTTTCACTGTTCTACACTTTCAGGTTCAATGCAGGTTGGTACAATGTTCAAAATTGAGTTTCTGGGATAGAAATACAGTGGATATGACAAGTTGGGATTGTTTAGAGCTTGAAATCGGATATCTTTGTTGAGAATTCAAACCATTTGCACAATGTAACCTTCATCATCGAGTGTTTGGATCAAGCGCCTAAGTCTTACGAGTGGTCAAAATTAGGATGTCTACAGTTGCCCCTCTTTGACAAAGCTCGAAGTCATGAAGTGACGTGATGAATGTCAAAGCCCAAAAATGACCCATTTTGACGAGGCCGTAAGACTTGGGCAAACAAACAAAATACAGATGTAGTTGGTTGAACCCGAGGGTTGCCTACGTATCCCTTTGCAAGGAATCAAACCTGCGTAGTTCAGGGCAAAAATGTGAAATGATAAACAAAACATACGTTAGACTTATTTATTTTGATGATTTATTTAATTATGTTTTAATTTATTTGAAAGCGAAAAATAGAATCCAAAATTTATTTTGATGATTTATTTAATTATGTTTTAATTTATTTGAAAGAGAAAAATAGAATCAAAATTTATTTTGTCCCATTATTTCTTACCTAAACCTTTATCCTAAATGTTGTTAGAATATATTTAATATTTGATTAAATCAGAAGTTCAAACAGCCCAGCACAACAGCAGTTCAAAAGGTTCAAAAGATTCAAGTGGAAGATATTCAAATTAGTAATGATGGAGTACAACGGCTATAAATTCAAATGAATACAACGGCTATAAACGGTTATAAATTCAAATGAATACAACAGCTATAAACGGCTATAAGTTTCACTACATATACCAAAGCCTCTAATGTAAACAAGTGACAAAAAACCAGAAAATATTTTTTGATTTATAATCACTCACATCTATTCTCTGAAAAAATTCTCTGAGAAGTGTTCTTCAATTTTTGTTTACATCCTCTCTCAGAAATTATACACTGAGCCTTATAGAGAAAAATCAAAGCTTTATTTTATATATCTATCTTTGAGAGATATTTATTGTAAGCTTTATTTGAAAGAAAAAATACCATTTCATCTTGTAAAAGTGTTACAAACACCGTGTTCTTAAAATCTTGAGAGTGATTGTGAATCACCTAAGATTTGCAAGGGTTTGGGCTTATGAAGTCTGTGTAAAATCCGTAGAGGATTGATGCATCTGTAAAGAGGTTGCTAGTATCCCTGTGAAGCTAGAAGATAGTGGAAAATCTCAAGTGAAGCTTGAGGAGTGGATGTAGGCTTGGTTGAAGTGGAACAACTACAATCTATTTGTCTCCTCTTCCTTAATCTTTTTACTTTCCTACTATTGCTATAGCTATCTAGTATTCATGTGTTAATCATTTGATTTACCCTGTATGTTAGTTATACTTCATTGTTATTTTGCTTAATCATTTACTGCTAAGTTCGTCATTGTGCTTGTTAATAATTTGTTGTACTAGTAGTTAATTTTAT